TTAGAAAAGATCCATGGAATAAGGTGACCAGACCACACACTAGAAGGTGAAGGGACGACGACGACGTTTCGGTCCGTCCTGGACCATTCTCAAGTCGAAACGTCGTCGTCCCTTCACCTTCTAGTGTGTGGTCTGGTCACCTTATTCCATGGATCTTTTCTAATGTTGTGCATCATGTATACCAGGTGGTAGAAGATTTTACATGTCTTAATGAGGTGATTTATTCTGAGAAACTTAAGATAATAATATTGCCAAGGTGGTGTATGTGATATTGTTTGAGATATATACAAGAGTTGTTACATTCTTGTAGAGCCACTAGTACGCGTAGCGTTACGGGCAGGTCCCTGGAATACGATCCCCGCCGCGAAGAATCGTTGTTACAACCAAGTACACATTTTACCGTTGCGTTAAACAGAGGCTACAGTTAAGGATTTGCGCCCAGTAAATCCTCCCCGGCCAGGATACGAACCCATGACAAAGCGCTCGCGGAACGCCAGGCGAGTGTCTTACCACTACACCACGGAGACTAGTGTAGGAAACCGGAGACTGGAGGAAATTATTCCTCATACCTCATGGTATCAGCAGCACAACAGGCGCCAGTGTCCCACTGCGCCAGGATATAGCCTGGTGTCAGCTAGTGTTGATTGTATGCAGTTTCCAGACTTGTTTGATGATCATGCCCAGCTGTTTGAGGAGCTGGATAAGTAATAGTGTGTAAGTTTATAGACCATTATTTTTTAATGTTATGTGGAATTATATTATTATCCAGTAAACTGGAATATTGTTGATTAGCCTTTCACTCCCCTAGATAATTGATTGATATTTGGCTAGGATATGTTTCTAGTGATACTAAAGGTTATACTCCCTCATTATAGAAATATGGGGGACTTAGCTCTCCTCATAACACCCACACATCTATTTTCAGTCGCACTCATCTATTTCTAGTTCACACATCTATTTTCATTCCCACATTTATTTTTTAGTTCATACACATTTATTTTCAGTCCCACACATCTATTTTCAGTTCCACACATTTATTTTTAGCCCCACACATCTATTTTTATTCCCACACATCTATTTGTAGTCCCACACATTTATTTTCAGTCCCACACATCTATTTTTATTCCCACACATCTATTTGTAGTCCCACACATCTATTTTCAGTCCCACACATCTATTTTTATTCCCACACATCTATTTGTAGTCCCACACATCTATTTTCAGTCCCACACATCTATTTTCAGTCCTACACATCTATTTTCAGTCCCACACATCTATTTGTAGTCCCACACATCTATTTGTAGTCCCACACATCTATTTTCAGTCCCACACATCTATTTGTAGTCCCACGTACACATCTATTTTCAGTCACACACGTCTATTTTCAGTCACACACATCTATTTCCAGTCCAACACATCTATTTTCAGTCCCAGACATCTATTTTCAGTCTCACATTTATTTTTAGTCCCAGACATCTATTTTCAGTCCCACATCTATTTTCAGTCCCAGACATTATTTTCAGTCCCACAAATCTATTTTCAGTCCCACAAATCTATTTTCAGTCCCAAGCATCTATTTTCAGTCCCCCGCACATCAATTTTCAGCCCCACACATCTATTTTCAGTCCCATACATCTATTTTCTGTTCCATACATTTATTTTCAGTCCCAGGCGTCTGTTTTCAATCACACACATCTGCTTTCAATATAAGACATCCACTTTTAATCTCAGACATCTACATGCAATCATAAACATCCTCTTTAGATCACAAACATCTTCTTTAGATGACAAACATCTTTCAATTTACCCGGGCGTGATAGGAAGGGTGGGGTGGGGGGGGGAGGGGGGCTGTATACATAAGAAACAGGGAACATTTAGACTATAGGCAGTTCAAACTTCAGCGTTTTGTAATTTCCGAAGCCTGAACTGTATCAAACGGTACAGTCTATGTGTTCAATGATACAGAGGGATACAAGACCCTCCGTATCTTTTGCTAGGACTAAAAAAACACTTCTAGGAATGTTATGCACATAGCTAGGATTTCATTAATCATTTATAATAATTCATCGTGTCGGGGGACTGGAAGCCAGAGTGTTTTCATACACGTTAGGCTTATATTCATACACGTTAGTATAGATTGGGAGTTGTCTCCAAAGAATTTTCAAAGATTTACCTATCAATGCTGTCTAAAATAATTTGGAGAGCCAAAATAAAATACAACGAATATAAATTTACTTAATGTAAGGGCAACATTAAGAAAACATGGAACACTATCTCCCAAATATTAGGATAATTTTTTTTTAAATAAAAACCAATACTCCTATCCAATGACAATGGTGTGCTTTCAGCCTCTGACACTGCTATTGAATTCAATAGGTTCTTCTCATCCATTGGATCATCCCCTGCTAATGATATTTCATCCTCCCTAACTAATTTTAAGGATTACCTAACAGGTAACTATCCAGAGTCTCTGTACCTGACTCCCGGTAATTCCAATGATGTTAATGAGATAATCCTTTCCCTTTAAACCAAGTCTAGTGCCCTTGAGGAGATACCAACTCTAATTTACAAAAAAGCCTCCAGAACTTTAGCTCCTGCCATTGCATTGCTCTCCAACAAGTCACTTGAACTCCAAACCTTTCCAGATAATCAAAAAAAAAAAAGGCGAGAGTAACCCCTGTCCACAAATGTGGTGATCTCACTGATGTCAATTACAGACCTATCTCAATTCTGCCAACCTTGTCAAAAATATTTGAAAAGCTAATCTACAAGCAGCTTTACTCTTATCTAGCCAAACACAATATACTAATTAGCTCTTGCCAATATGGCTTCAGACCCAAAAAATACTAACGATGCACTTATTAGTATGATTAACTTGATTCATGCAGCTCTTGATAAAAATGAGATCCCTGTTGGGTTATTTGTGGACCTGCGTAAAGCTTTTGATACTGTCAACCACCAAAACCTTCTTCTTAAATTACATCATTATGGAGTCAGAGGACACTCCCTGCAATACCTCAAATCTTATCTTACTGACAGGCTCCAGTATATTTCTGTGAATAATTCAATTTCTCCCACCCTACCCATCAACATTGGTGTTCCTCAGGGCAGCATACTTGGCCCTCTCCTCTTTCTCATCTACATTAATGACCTTCCAAATGCCTCCCAACACCTCAAACCAATTCTATTTGCTGACGACACAACTTTCATTTACTCCAGTCCTGACCCTCTTGCTCTAAATGCCACAGTGAATACTGAGCTAAATAAAGTCCATCTTTGGCTAACTGCCAACAAACTCACCCACAATATTGACAAATTTTTCTATATTTTGTTTGGTAATAAATCCTCAGATCAAATTAATCTAAGAATAAACAACATCCAAATTAGTAACAAAGTAGGTGGCAAGTTCCTTGGTGTTCTCATCGACAACAAGCTCAATTTCCAGGGACCATTCTAAATATAGCAGAAAAAAACAAAAAGTTTCTAAAACTGTTGGATTCTTTCTAAGATCAGATATTATGTACATTGTGCAGGCGATGAGTCACAATAACGGGGCTGAAATAGTATTGACCAGACAACACACTAGAAGGTGAAGGGACGACGACGTTTCGCTCCGTCCTGGACCATTCTCAATTCGATCGACTTGAGAATGGTCCAGGACGGACCGAAACGTCGTCGTCCCTTCAGTTTCTAGTGTGTGGTCTGGTCAAACATATTATATACCTCTCTGCCCTGGTGATGCTCTATTACTCTCTCATCTATCCTTATCTCAACTATGGTATTTGTGCTTGGGGCTCTACTACCCAAAATCATTTACGTCCTCTAATTACTCAACACAAAGCTGCTATTAGGACAATATCCAACTCTGGCCCCAGACATCACTCGGTACCCTTACTCAAATCTTTGAATATGTTAGATATTAAGTCACTGCACATCCTCTCATGTGTACTCCATATATATTTAAAACGCTGAACAATCATGTTCATGTAAAATGTCAATCCTGAACTTAAAAGCTTCTTAGATGGTTGTAACAGAACCCATGAGCACCACACCAGAAACAAATACCTTTTTGATATTCCAAGAGTGGGACTTAACCAAACCAGAAATGCTTTACAAATCAAGGGACCCAGAACATGGAATGACCTTCTTAGTCATGTCAAAGACTGTACCTCTCTCAACCAGTTTAAGATAAAAACTAAACACTACCTAATAAACTCCATGTAACCTACCTTACCCCCTAAATGTCAACCCATGTCTTCCTATTTTAAAAAAATACTGTTTGTTGACCAAGTTGTATAATTGCTGATTTCTGCCATGTTCCCCTCCCCTTTCTTTTCCTTATTTCAACACAATTTATACTTTAATCTCAATTAGTATTAAGCTTTAGCCTAAGTGTTTTCCCCCCCACACCTTCCCAGAAACGCTATGCGTATTAGTGGCTTTAGGTATTGTATGTACTAGCTCTGTCTATAAATCTAACATTATGTTTGTAACTCATCTTCTATGTAAGTATGTACTTTTACCTGAATAAACATTTTGATTTTGATTTTTTGATATCAAGGCTCCCTTCCCCCCCCCCCCCCCAAGGTGGAATTACTGACCCCGCCCAGCATACAACCCCACAACAAGCTGACTAACTCCTGAGTACCTATTCATTGCTAGGTGAACCGAGTCATTAGGTGAAAGGAAATGCCTCCAACCATTTCTGTCCCGCCCGGGATTCGAACCGGGAATTCCTGATTGTGAGTCGAGAGCGAACTAGCCTGTACTACCGGCGCATACATGTACGGAGGAACTAACCAAGAAGTTATCATAATAATCAACAAATATTCAAGAAAATGTCAATCTATAATTATCAGGCTGGGTTAGATAGGGATAGATAAGAACAGTTTAGGTTAGGCTTCAGATTGCTGGGTTAGACACAGGTAGGTTAGGTACGACTAAGTGTTACAGTATCGACACCGTTGCTGGAGTGTGGAGTGGAGATTTCGGCGCCATCTATGGACCTGCACTCCAGCTCCCAAGTATTAGCTGAGAGGCAGACAATGCCATCTGTTGGCGGAGGTGTGGCGTCGGTGCAAGGCTCTTGTTTAATCCCTCAGTAAGGAGGTGAGGTCGATGATGATGGCCTCTGGTAGGTGGCGTAACGATATCAACGCCATCTAGGTTATGAAAGACTTCTGCCAGGGTGTTAGCTACCCCTGTACATGATTATTTGAGACCCCTGTCAGCTTGTGGTTGAAGCCACAAGCTTCAACCACTAGCCAGTGTGTTTCTGGAGAGCGGAAGTGGGGTATTGGGACATCGTGACAATACGGTGTGTGGACTGGCCCATGTCGAAGGTGAACTCGCCGGTGACTACCACTGGGGGTGGACGACGAGTACCTGGACGTAGTGGACTTGCCGGGATTTGTTGAACACTGCAGGTCCATTGAGTGTCCTGAGTGAAAGCTACACAGTGTAAGTGTGTGTAGTAATACTTTAAGATATATATATATATATATATATATATATATATATATATATATATATATATATATATATATATATATATATATATATATATATATATATATATATATATATATATATATATATATATATATATATATGTCGTACCTAGTAGCCAGAACTCACTTCTCAGTCTACTATTCAAGGCCCGATTTGCCTAATAAGCCAAGTTTTCCTGAATTAATATATTTACTATAATTTTTTTCTTATGAAATGATAAAGCAACCCTTTTCTCTATGTATGAGGTCAATTTTTTTTATTGGAGTTAAAATTAACGTAGATATATGACCGAACCTAACCAACCCTACCTAACCTAACTTAGCCTATATTTATAGGTAAGGTTAGGTTAGGTAGCCAAAAAAAGCTAGGTTAGGTTAGGTTAGGTAGGTTAGGTAGACGAAAAAACATTAATTCATGAAAACTTGGCTTATTAGGCAAATCGGGCCTTGAATAGTAGGCTGAGAAGTGCGTTCTGGCTATTAGGTACGACATATATATATATATATATATATATATATATATATATATATATATATATATATATATATATATATATATATATATATATATATATGTCGTACCTAGTAGCCAGAACGCACTTCTATGAAAGCCCCGATTTGCCTAATAAGCCAAGTTTTCATGAATTATTGTTTTTCAACTACCTACCTACCTAACCTAACCTAACTTTTTTGGCTACCTAACCTAACCTAACCTAACCTATAAAGATAGGTTAGGTTAGGTTAGGTAGGGATTGGTTAGGTTCGGTCATATATCTACGTTAATTTTAACTCCAATAAAAAAAAATTGACCTCATACATAATGAAATGAGCAGCTTTATCATTTCATAAGAAAAAAATTAGAGAAAATATATTAATTCAGGAAAACTTGGCTTATTATGCAAATCGAACCTTGCATAGTAGGCTGAGAAGTGCGTTCTGGCTACTAGGTACGACATATATATATATTGGTGAAGGTGATAATATTTTGGCGAAGGTGTATTTGCATATTGTTTATCCCCCGCTTATTCCTTGCTGTGTTACTTGCTACTGCTTATTCTTGAAAATGTACCATCGACTTTGGGTAGGATAAAGAAGAAGAGCTTATAAGACACGTTAACAGAAAAGAACCTGGTTACTGGCCCAAGCTGGCCGTAATATAATTGGCATCCCCCAACGGGATCCGACTTCTTGTCGGGTTGTAACAAACTAGGCTGGTTGTAAGAATTATCCAGAATGTTTTATCTACAAAGGCGAATGGGAAGCTGGACCCGCGTGGTGACCCGGGACCTGACCCCACGGAATTCGCGGTGAAAATAATTGACGCCTTATTCATAGTTTCGTATAATGAATCATCCTATAGTATTCACTTATTTAGAGACATTAGCCTTTATTCATTTTGCATTCAAATTGTATTGTATAATATTCCTGGTTATAATATCAAGAATATTCTAATTATTAGGAGAAAGAGTTTGTCACCATCAGTGACGTCACTATCCATGACTAGCCTCGACGCGGAAGAATTTGAGTGACCTGGCGGTCACAGGTCACAAGAGTTCCCACATTCAGTAATTTCTCAAAGGTCAAATAGCCATTTTAGATTTGGGAATAGCATTCCTTAAAAGGCTTGTGTAATTTAACTTGAGTAAATTATGTCAACCCATCTGGATCAATTCAGTACAGAGGTTAATTGTTATAACTTAAGCCTTGCTAGTAACTTGGTAAAACTTAGACTATGCGGAAAGATACAATGCTCTAGTCTGGGGAAGACCAGACGAGGAGAGATTAGTGTGTGATCGAGATCAACTGGGAGAGGTCAACCATCTCACCTCTCCCCCAAGACCAGCAACAACATCTGAGCTGGTCAACATAGAGGTATAGTTGCTATTGTTATTTATAGGGATAGTCAAGTCATTGCCAAGTAGGGAGTGTTAACATGATAGGTAGTGTTAACATGATAGAGAGTGTTAACATGATAGGGAGTGTTAACATGATAGGGAGTGTTAACATGATAGGGAGTGTTAACATGATAGAGAGTGTTAACATGATAGAGAGTGTTAACATGATAGGGAGTGTTAACATGATAGGGAGTGTTAACATGATAGAGAGTGTTAACATGATAGGGAGTGTTAACATGATAGAGAGTGTTAACATGATAGAGTGTTAACATGATAGAGAGTGTTAACATGATAGAGAGTGTTAACATGATAGAGAGTGTTAACATGATAGAGAGTGTTAACATGATAGGGAGTGTTAACATGATAGGGAGTGTTAACATGATAGAGAGTGTTAACATGATAGGGAGTGTTAACATGATAGAGAGTGTTAACATGATAGAGAGTGTTAACATGATAGTGAGTGTTAACATGATAGGGAGTGTTAACATGATAGAGAGTGTTAACATGATAGTGAGTGTTAACATGATAGGGAGTGTTAACATGATAGGGAGTGTTAACATGATAGAGAGTGTTAACATGATAGAGAGTGTTAACATGATAGAGAGAGTTAACATGATAGAGAGTGTTAACATGATAGGGAGTGTTAACATGATAGGGAGTGTTAACATGATAGAGAGTGTTAACATGATAGGGAGTGTTAACATGATAGGGAGTGTTAACATGATAGGGAGTGTTAACATGATAGGGAGTGTTAACATGATAGGGAGTGTTAACATGATAGGGAGTGTTAACATGATAGGGAGTGTTAACATGATAGAGAGTGTTAACATGATAGGGAGTGTTAACATGATAGGGAGTGTTAACATGATAGGGAGTGTTAACATGATAGGGAGTGTTAACATGATAGGGAGTGTTAACATGATAGGGAGTGTTAACATGATAGGGAGTGTTAACATGATAGGGAGTGTTAACATGATAGGGAGTGTTAACATGATAGGGAGTGTTAACATGATAGGGAGTGTTAACATGATAGAGTGTTAACATGATAGTGAGTGTTAACATGATAGGGAGTGTTAACATGATAGAGAGTGTTAACATGATAGTGAGTGTTAACATGATAGGGAGTGTTAACATGATAGGGAGTGTTAACATGATAGGGAGTGTTAACATGATAGGGAGTGTTAACATGATAGGGAGTGTTAACATGATAGGGAGTGTTAACATGATAGGGAGTGTTAACATGATAGGGAGTGTTAACATGATAGGGAGTGTTAACATGATAGGGAGTGTTAACATGATAGGGAGTGTTAACATGATAGAGAGTGTTAACATGATAGTGAGTGTTAACATGATAGGGAGTGTTAACATGATAGGGAGTGTTAACATGATAGGGAGTGTTAACATGATAGGGAGTGTTAACATGATAGGGAGTGTTAACATGATAGGGAGTGTTAACATGATAGGGAGTGTTAACATGATAGGGAGTGTTAACATGATAGGGAGTGTTAACATGATAGGGAGTGTTAACATGATAGGGAGTGTTAACATGATAGGGAGTGTTAACATGATAGGGAGTGTTAACATGATAGGGAGTGTTAACATGATAGGGAGTGTTAACATGATAGGGAGTGTTAACATGATAGGGAGTGTTAACATGATAGGGAGTGTTAACATGATAGGGAGTGTTAACATGATAGGGAGTGTTAACATGATAGGGAGTGTTAACATGATAGGGAGTGTTAACATGATAGGGAGTGTTAACATGATAGGGAGTGTTAACATGATAGGGAGTGTTAACATGATAGGGAGTGTTAACATGATAGGGAGTGTTAACATGATAGGGAGTGTTAACATGATAGGGAGTGTTAACATGATAGGGAGTGTTAACATGATAGGGAGTGTTAACATGATAGGGAGTGTTAACATGATAGGGAGTGTTAACATGATAGGGAGTGTTAACATGATAGGGAGTGTTAACATGATAGGGAGTGTTAACATGATAGGGAGTGTTAACATGATAGGGAGTGTTAACATGATAGGGAGTGTTAACATGATAGGGAGTGCTCATCTTTAGATTTTGTTTTAGTTTTTCTCTTAATAAATTAATTAGTTAATAATCTGCATTTTCATTATTTCCATGTGTATGTTATATTTATGTGGACTTGTCCTGGTCACGTGGTCCACACGAGGCAGAGTTGAATTGGGCGCCGATTCTAACATCGAATCGGAATTCATCTTTCCCGTTTAATTAATTCCACACTTAAGATCTTAAAGGGTATCGGTTATAGGGGGATCAAGCCCCAAGGATGATTTATTAGCATGATCGATCCAGACCTCGATCATTGCTCAGTGTTACTGGTCTGGTGGTGGCGGCGGAGGCGACTCTAGGGTTTTGCTCAAAGCCTAGGTCACGCCATACGGGTTGTAGAATCCTAAGTCGGTCACTCGTCTTAGGACCACGTGGCGTGGAGTCGGCTTTAGTAAAAGTTTTGGAGTCCCTTGGTAGAGAATAAAAAGTAAGAATACGGGTAGAGGGAGTAAAAGGTAGGAAAGATCATTCAAGAACCCGTCTCCCCGTGTTACAGGGTCAGTTTGATAGAATTGGTTAAGTAATTAGTGCAATCCCCTTGTCTAGATTCCCCCTTTTAGTGTATAAGTGTTAAGTGTAGTTTTCGGTGTTGGGAATCAGTGCAGTGTTACGTGATTGTGCATAACGTTAATAAAGTGAACAACGGCAGAGAAACAGACATTGATACTCTGGACGATGTTCAGGAGTTCCTAAACCAGGAGGACTGCCTTCCCAAGTTGAAACATCTTGGCAAACCTGAGATGGTTTTAATAAGTGTCTACCTTGAGATTAAGGTGAGCGATCGTGACTCGCGTGTGGAAATCCTCTCAAAGGTATATATAGGCATTTAAAACCTGCCGGTAAGCAAGAAAGTGAATTGCAGAGTAAAGGAGAAAGTGTTATGGCTTCCACTGAGAAGTAAGACCAGGGAAGTGATGGTGAAAGTGATCAAGAGGAGCCTAAAGTGAACCTCTTAACAGTGAAAATGCGAGAGATAAATCGTGAAAGAGTAGGAAAGATAGAACTAGAAGAAAGAAGACAAGAAAGGGAAATGAAACGTTTGGAAATAGAAAAGAGAAAGAAAAAGAAGAAAGAGAGAGGGGAATGGAAATAAAACGTGAAATTGAAGTGAAACGGTTGGAGAGGGAAATGGAAGTGAAAAGATTGGAGAAAGAAGAGTGGAGAGAAAGAGGAAGAGAGGAGCGAGAAAGAGAAGAAATAAGAGAAAGAGAAGAAATAAGAGAAAGAGAAGAGCGAGAAAGAGAAGAAATAAGAGAAAGAGAAGAGCGAGAAAGAGAAGAAATAAGAGAAAGAGAAGAGCGAGAAAGAGAAGAGATAAGAGAAAGAGAAGAGCGAGAAAGAGAAGAAATAAGAGAAAGAGAGGAGCGAGAAAGAAGAAAAGGAGTGAGATAGGCAACACGAACTGAAAGTGCTAAGATTAAGTGGTAGAAGGGACACCAGAGGTTTCGTCCCAGTCCGGAACATTAAAATGTTGCCTAAATTCAATGAGAAGGTGTCTAAATTATTTGCTGCTTTCGAGAAAGTCGCTGCATCATTAGACTGGCCAAGAGACAATTGGGCAATTATGATCCAATCCGTGCTGTCTGGAAAAGCCCAAACGGCTTACCCCACACTGTCGGTAAGTGACTAGTGATTACGACACTGTCAAGAAGGTGGTGCTGATGGCCTACCAGTTGGTGTCTGAAGCATTTAGGCAGAAGTTCTGTAACCTGAAGAAGACATCAGAGCACACCTTCACGGAGTTTGTGTGTATTAAACATAAGAACAAAGGTAACTGCAGAAGGCCTATTGGCCCATACGAGGCAGCTCCTATTCTATAACCACCCAATCCCACTCATATACATGTCCAACCCGTGCTTGAAACAATCGAGGGACACCACCTCCACCACGTTACGCGGCAATTGGTTCCACAAATCAACAACCCTGTTACTGAACCAGTATTTACCCAAGTCTTTCCTAAATCTAAACTTATCCAATTTATACCCATTGTTTCGTGTTCTGTCTTGTGTTGATATTTTTAATACCCTATTAATATCCCCCCTGTTATGTCCATTCATCCAACGGCTGTTTTACGAATGGTGCGCATCTCGGAAGGCGGAGACCAAAGAACAATTGGAACAACTCGTCTTATTAGAAGACTTCAAAGAGTGTTTGTCAGGTGATCTGAAGGTTGGAGGAGCAGCAGGTAGAGACCTTTGGTGCTGCAGCCACAATTGTTGAAGAATATATTTTAACCCATAGGCTCTACCTGGTATGTTCCAAAGAGCTACTCAAAACCATTTTTGAAGTATAAGCCGGAAGAGGAGAGAACCGTCCTACGTAGTGCCGTGAAGACACCCCCAAGTAGTCCACGACGAACTAGCCCAAGTAGTCCACGACGAACTAGCCCAAGTAGTCCACGACGAACTAGCCCAAGTAGTCCACGACGAACTAGCCCAAGTAGTCCACGACGAACTAGCCCAAGTAGTCCACGACGAACTAGTCCAAGTAGTCCACGACGAACTAGTCCAAGTAGTCCACGACGAACTAGTCCAAGTAGTCCACGACGAACTAGCCCAAGTAGTCCACGACGAACTAGCCCAAGTAGTCCACGACGAACTAGTCCAAGTAGTCCACGACGAACTAGCCCAAGTAGTCCACGACGAACTAGCCCAAGTAGTCCACGACGAACTAGCCCAAGTAGTCCACGACGAACTAGTCCAAGTAGTCCACGACGAACTAGCCCAAGTAGTCCACGACGAACTAGTCCAAGAAGGGACATAGTGTGTTGGAGCTGCGGGCAGAAGGGGCACATAGCTGCTAAGTGTGGAGGCAGGAGAGGTAAGGACCCTCATAGGGAGGTTATGCTGGTGTGTTGTGAGACACCACCAGTACACACCCAGTCTCTAGGGATGGATAGAGAGAAGCCAGGATTGGTTGCGTCTCTAGGGATGGAGAGAGAGAAGCCAGGATTGGTTGCGTCTCTAGGGATGGAGAGAGAGAAGCCAGGATTGGTTGCGTCTCTAGGGATGGATAGAGAGAAGCCAGGATTGGTTGCGTCTCTAGGGATGGAGAGAGAGAAGCCAGGATTGGTTGCGTCTCTAGGGATGGAGAGAGAGAAGCCAGGATTGGTTGCGTCTCTAGGGATGGAGAGAGAGAAGCCAGGATTGGTTGCGTCTCTAGGGATGGAGAGAGAGAAGCCAGGATTGGTTGCCTCTTACACTTCGCAAGGGTATGTGTCGAGTGATCAGACTGGCAGGTTTGTAGTGATTTTCAGGGATAGTGGAGCAGCCCAATCTCTGATTTTAAGGAACTCGTAACCCGAGGAAGTGAAAGAGTAACCTGATAAAGTGTCTACTGATGGGAAACAAAGGATTATTTTAGATGGGTTTCCCTCGACGTGGTAAGTTGCCCCCTTAGTGGAAGTACACTTGGAATCGCCATATTTCAGTAGCAAGTGTACTTTCGCAGTAGTGGATCATCTTCCTATAGAGGATAGACGTCATACTGGCCAATGACTTAGTGTTGTGTTTGGATAGGAACCATCCCATGGCTGTGGATGATCTGGTTGAACAGGTTATAAAACCTGTAGTAGCAGAACAAACCAGATACCAAGTGCAGACTCAGTTGAAATTAAATGACAGTGACTTGTTTAACCCCACAGGTTGACTTCCCCACAAGTTGACTTCACATGTACTTCAGCAAACTCTCTAGACTCTACTCGACAACCGAAACACTGGGCTAGAGCGATACGGATAACTGAGCAAGAGAAGGAACCCCAAGTGCGCACACACGCAGATACCCTAGAGTCTGGCACGATGGCAGGTGACCTGTACTTGTAGAATGATAAGGTGCGGTGATCACGGAACCCACCAAGAACTCCCCAGACTTCAGAGGTATGAGCACAGGTTGTCGTGCTCTCAGTGTTCCGAGCTGGGCTAATAGAAACAGCCAATTATGGACATTGCAGGCTTGTGAAAGTTGTCCCTCGTTTAATGAAATGGTTCTTAAATGCACTTGGTATTTTCATGGTGGGGTTGGCTTGTGGTCACACAGTGAGAGGACCATTAGAGGTGGTCAAGGACCAGTGGACGGACAAGCACAGGACAGCACACATAAGCATGGTGGAGCAGTATCAGGGACTAGACATCCGTCCCATCATGATCGTGGGAGGAGGAAGGGACCAAGAAGTGATTAAGGATGTTAGTAGTCAAATAAATGATGTAGCAAGTGGCAAGTCTAGACAGGTTGAACTTCCTTGTGTAATTAGTGGGCCTAGTAACATGGCCTGCCTAATGGGTAACTTAGTGGGTAACTTGTGCAAACATTGTAAGGAATGTTGGCAGACCTAAGGTTAGCAGAGTGAACGCATTTTTCATGAGAGTAAAGACAGTCACCATGGGAACATGCACGAACCTAGTCCTCGGTCAAGACACTGGCAGGTATCACCAGGCTGCACCTGGTAGCCTAAACTATAAATTTCCTGTATTCAAGATTCCTGTCTCCCTGAAGGACCGCCAGATCAGTACAGGAAACGCCTTCTGCATACAGCTACCAGCGGTGCCACGGTTCAGGCAGGTGTTGGCACTTCGCCTCAGTTTTTCGATCATCTTCAGAGCCTAGGTGCTTACGTTAACCAAGGCGTGCACTGTGGCCCCACTACGGACAAGCACGTCAGTTAGATCATTGTCCGCGGTATTGGTGTTCACTTTAGTCAAGACATCTCTATTAATACAGTTCCTACATCAGGACTTTCTCCTGATATTAGTCATCTATCTGCATAAGTCTAATTGGTTTTATTCAAACATTTATTTGGTTTATTTTCTTTTAAAAATCAAACCAAATTCTTTTTGGTGGGGAGGAGTTATGGTCTCGACATCGTTGCTTTTTTTTTTGCAGGGATATTCCTGCGCGGGCCCTAAGCCTCTGGCTGGATCACTAGGTGTTGCTTGTTTCTGTTTTACTTGGGCGGAGTAAAACAGAAACAAGCAACACTTAATACACACGAGTCATGTATTTATGACTCGTATGGTCCCTTTAGTAAGATTTTGTCCCACGTGTTTAACAACTTCTTCTGCTCTGTTGAATCTAAGTTGAAATCTTAATGGGTTTGTAACTGTGCACTGTGTTAGATAATGTTCCAGTGGTCTGTTGTGGCGGTAACTGTGCACTGTGTTAGATAATGTTCCAGTGGTCTGTCGGGCATTTCTTCACAGTGTTGACATTTCCTCTCATCTTCCGGAACCTGTAGGCCTATTTCCCATGCACCTGGGTATCCAAGCCTGATGCGATGTAAGTGTACTTCTGTTGCTCTACTGCTCCCTTTCATCAAACTAAGTGGTTCATAGTTGGTTGAATTCTTGTACCAACCCGCAGATCCTGATGTTGCAACTGCTGTGTTGTGGTCACTGTACATCACCTGCATTGTTCTGTTTCTAATTACTTTCTGAATCTGTGATAGACTCTGTGGTATGTAAATGTCTACATTTATTCTCTTAGTTGCAAGTTTTGCAGCTTCGTCTGCAATGTCATTTCCTATTATTCCCACATGACTTAGCACCCAGTTGATAAGTACCCGTCGGCCTTGTCGTTTGAGTGTTAGCATTAATGATATGACATTTGTGATGAGTTGGATGTTATCACGTATGTGTTCTTGGTGCAATGTTTCAAATTTGCTGGAGTGTGAAGTCGCGATTTCGGTGTCATTTATGAACCTGCATTCCAATTTCCAAGTATTAGGTGAGACACTGACAACGCCATCTGTTGGCGGAGGTGTGGCGTCGGTTAAAGGCTCCTGGTCATACCTCAGTTAGGAGATGAGGTCGATAATGATGACCTCTGGTGGGTGGTGTAACGATATCAACGTCATCTAGGTTGTGAAAGCAATTACAATTTGAATTCCCCGGTGGAAGGGTGTTACCCTAAGGTCACCCAGTGCTTAGTGAAATCCGTCATCATTAGTTTAGTCTAGCTAATGATGTTTATGTTCACAGAGGTGACGTGAGGAGGTGATTGCGCTGAAGGCAGTTCACCTTGGGCAGTCCAGAACTCTTGACTTGGTCCTGTGAGAGGACAATGTGGTCACCATCGGTAGCAGCAGTGTGTTAGCTGCTGGATTTATGCAGTGTAGAATAGGCCGATGTACCCGGGATTTGGCCAGGAAGAGTTACGAGACGACAGTTGTGCGTCTGTTGAGAAGTGCTGCTAGTGTGTTGTGTTATTCACTACTCACTGTTGATGTTGTCGTTGTTATCACTCGTCTCTCGGTCGATCGTCCGTCCCTTTCAGACAAGCCAATCCAAACCAAAACCTCTGTAGAGTGCTTATTTTTACCAGGAGATCACCATGGGCGCTTCTGGCACTTGGAGAGGGGTTCAACGTCACACGTTTATCGGGATGCAGCTCCAATACTGACCTCGTCACGTGCACACACCCACTCGAGCCGTCGTGACTCCCCACTCTCACCTAATTTGGTATGACCTCCTCAATCCCCCTTTTCTGAATGATTACTCTATACTACCCTGTCCACAGCTATAGTTCTTAGTTCTCTCTCTCTCTCTCTCTCTTTTCTATTATCTGGAAAGACTCACTAGGACAAGGGCAGACACCTGTTAACTACACAGATTTAATAACAAAACAGACTGGCCCATGTCGAAGGTGAACTCGCCGGTGACTACCACTGGGGGTGGACGACGAGTACCTGGACGTAGTAGGACTGTCACAGCCACCAACACCCCCCAGGACTGTCACAGCCACCAACACACCCCAGGACTGTCACAGCCACCAACACCCCCAGGACTGTCACAGCCACCAACACTCCCCTGTCACAGCCACCAACACAGCCACACAGCCACCAACACCCCCCCAGGACTGTCACAGCCACCAACACTCCCCAGGACTGTCACAGCCACCAACACTCCCCAGGACTGTCACAGCCACCAACACTCCCCAGGACTGTCACAGCCACCAACACTCCCCAGGACTGTCACAGCCACCAACACTCCCCAGGACTGTCACAGCCACCAACACCCCCCAGGACTGTCACAGCCACCAACACCCCCCAGCCACTGTCACAGCCACCAACACCCCCCAGGACTGTCACAGCCACCAACACCCCCCAGGACTGTCACAGCCACCAACACCCCCCCACAGCCACAACACTCCCCACAGCCACCACACTCCCCCCCAGGACTGTCACAGCCACCAACACCCCCCAGGACTTTCACAGCCACCAACACCCTCCACTACAGTCACAGCCTACCAACACACCCCCCAGGACTGTCACAGCCACCAACACCCCCCAGGACTGTCACAGCCACCAACACCCCCCAGGACTGTCACAGCCACCAACACTCCCCAGGACTGTCACAGCCACCAACACTCCCCAGGACTGTCACAGCCACCAACACCCCCCAGGACTGTCACAGCCACCAACACTCCCCAGGACTGTCACAGCCACCAACACTCTCCCAGGACACAGCCACCAACACCCCAGGACTGTCACAGCCACCAACACTCCCCAGGACTGTCACAGCCACCAACACTCCCCAGGACTGTCACAGCCACCAACACTCCCCAGGACTGTCACAGCCACCAACACTCCCCAGGACTGTCACAGCCACCAACACTCCCCAGGACTGTCACAGCCACCAACACCCCCCAGGACTGTCACAGCCACCAACACTCCCCAGGACTGTCACAGCCACCAACACTCCCCAGGACTGTCACAGCACACCAACACAGCCACCAACACTCCCCAGGACTGTCACAGCCACCAACACTCCCCCCCCACTGTCACCAACACTCCCCCTGTCACAGCCACCAACACTCCCCAGGACTGTCACAGCCACCAACACTCCCCCCCAGCCACCAACACTCTCCCCCCAGCCACCAACACTCTCCACTGTGTCACAGCCACCAACACTCCCCCAGGACTGTCACAGCCACCAACACTCCCCAGGACTGTCACAGCCACCAACACCCCCCAGGACTGTCACAGCCACCAACACCCCCCAGGACTGTCACAGCCACCAACACACCCCCAGGACTGTCACAGCACACCAACACAGCCCCCAGGACTGTCACAGCCACCAACACTCCCCAGGACTGTCACAGCCACCAACACTCCCCAGGACTGTCACAGCCCACCAACACAACCCCCAGGACTGTCACAGCCACCAACACTCCCCACTCCCCAGGACTGTCACAGTCACCAACACCCCCCAGGACTGTCACAGCCACCAACACTCCCCAGGACTGTCACAGCCACCAACACCCCCCAGGACTGTCACAGCCACCAACACTCCCCCAGGACTGTCACAGTCACCAACTCTCCCCCCCAGGACTGTCACAGCCACCAACAGCCCCCAGGACTGTCACAGCCACCAAACACTGTCACAGCCACCAACACTCTCCCCAGGACTGTCACAGCCACCAACACTCCCCAGGACTGTCACAGCCACCAACACTCCCCAGGACTGTCACAGCCACCAACACTCCCCAGGACTGTCACAGCCACCAACACTCCCCAGGACTGTCACAGCCACCAACACTCCCCAGGACTGTCACAGCCACCAACACTCCCCAGGACTGTCACAGCCACCAACACTCCCCAGGACACAGCCACCAACACCCCCAGGACTGTCACAGCCACCAACACCCCCCAGGACTGTCACAGCCACCAACACTCCCCACTCCCCAGGACTGTCACAGCCACCAACACTCCCCACCAACACACTCCCCAGGACTGTCACAGCCACCAACACCCCCAGGACTGTCACAGCCACCAACACTCCCCAGGACTGTCACAGCCACCAACACTCCCCAGGACTGTCACAGCCACCAGCCACCAACACTCCCCAGGACTGTCACAGCCACCAACACTCCCCAGGACTGTCACAGCCACCAACACTCCCCAGGACTGTCACAGCCACCAACACTCCCCAGGACTGTCACAGCCACCAACACCCCCCACTGTCCAGCCACCTGTCACAGCCACCAACACTCCCCAGGACTGTCACAGCCACCAACACTCCCCCCCAGCCACCAACACTCCCCAGGACTGTCACAGCCACCAACACTCCCCAGGACTGTCACAGCCACCAACACTGTCACAGCCACCAACACTCCCCAGGACTGTCACAGCCACCAACAGCCACCCCCAGGACTGTCACAGCCACCAACACTCCCCAGGACTGTCACAGCCACCAACACCCCCCAGGACTGTCACAGCCACCAACACCAACACCCTGTCACAGCCACCAACACTCCCCAGGACTGTCACAGCCACCAACACTCCC